GGAAGTGGGTGTTGATATATACCGTATTCTACGATGTACGGAAACTTAAATCAGGGAATTTTTTTTTTCTTTCTTCAAAATGAATTTAAATAAGATACGTTTTAATCTATACAGCCAAATATCTTAACGTTTACTTACAAGCTAGAAATATCTTTTCAACTGCTCCTTTCTGATTGTAAACAGGGTCGTTGAACGAGGTTTCGTAAAAGAAGCAGCTAATAGGATTCACCGTTGGAGCCCTCATCTAACTCCTCCTACCGAGGGATTGTCCATGCTTCATGTCGATTTACAGTCCATGGTCCTCAAATATAACGACTTACACATAGCAATATTCCCGGACTTACGACCAGCTGTAAAATCTACTAAAATTAAAGAAATTCGAATAGATATATACCGTATTCTACGATGTACGGAAACTTAAATCTGGGGAAATAATAAAAAATAAAATTTGCCTTTACAAAAATACATCTCACAGACTTCCAATTAACACCTAAAATGGATAACCAACATGTATTTGGTTTAAAATATTGAAAATCATTTTTCAAGATATTGACTTTTTACAATTGCTTTTATAACAAAAGCGAGTTTTTCTAAAGAAAGACACCCCCATTGTTAGTTTTTTTTTAAATTGAACTGAATGAATTTGTCGCCAGCTTGTTTGTCCTTTATTTATGAAGTTTTGGAAACGGCATGATCTATGCATGGCATTCGAGTCGAAGCTCAAATATGATTTCAAAGTTGACGTTATGCCTCCATTCATCTTCCTGCTATGGCCTCTAGCTCAAAAAAGCCTACACAAGTGCCTAAGAGGAGTTAATTTTTAATTGTTTTAATTGAAAAATTATGTTAACTATAAAATGGAGATTCTTGATATAAATATCCCCTTGATTATTATGTGTGGGGCGCAGTTGAAACAACTCACCATCTTGTATCAGGTTGCATTTACAAATTTAAACAAGGAGACAGCTTCCAAGTGAATATAAAACCGGTGGCCAATGTCTTAAAGAAATTCAAAAAATGGTGGAGACCGTCCAAAGAATTTTTTTTTTCTGGACTTTTGTTTTTTTTCTTTGCAAACATTTTTATTGAAGAAATTTATCGATGTTTAAAATTTTTTGATCTTCTGTTTTGGTTTTAAAAATGATCATTGGAAAGGTCATTTATCCATTTTTGACCTTAGGTCTCTATATATATATAAATATAAATATAATTATATATATATATAGGTTCAATATATATATATCAAGAACAGTATTGGGTTGAAATTGTTTTTGCAATGCATTTTTTATTCTTGTGAAATAGTTTATTTGTGATGCAACTTGTCCTAAATTACCAATTGAACAATATATATAAAAATATATATAATTGTATAAAAAAGAAAGATTCTTAGTAGAAAGAGCCATGATTATTCATTAAAATGACTGAATAATTGTTTTAATTGTAAATGATCAGGTTGCAATATCCAAAACAACTCATTTGCAGGTTCAGTTCCAGTGAATATGGAAACTGGTATCCCATGTAATTGTTTCAAAAAAGAGAGCTATCTGTAAAATGCTTTGATCTTCTTACAAAAATGATCAGGGCTTTTCTGACCTCTATGTCTTAGTTTTTTTTAGCCAAATCAATTTTTTTTGTACAGGAAAATAAAACATTCAAAATACTTAAGAATCCAAAATAGATACAAATGTTATGAGAAAACTGGTATTTCTGATGCCCACAGGGCTCTTATCTTTATTTGGTTTTTTTTGTTTTTAAAGAAAAATGTTAAGAGACCATTTCACATGAGAGACTCTGGTTACAGGACCTTAAAAATAAAATGAAATAATAATAATAATAATAATAATAATAATTCCCTGTTGTAGTTGGAGCCCTAGAACTGGTTGGAAAAGATTGCAGTAGACTAATTGAAGGGATTCCTGATAAATCCATGCCTCAAGGAGATACAAAAAATTGTTCTGATTATATCAGCCCACACCTTTACGAAGGGCTTTATCTATGTCATTTAATTTTTTTTTTTTTTTTTTTTTTTTTTTTTTTTGGAAAATTTTTTGACGCCATTTCTAACCTTAGGTCCCTAAATCCCGGAAAGAAATGTGTAAACAACAAAAATCAAAGAAAATAAAAATAATAAAAATAATAATAATAATAATAATAATAGGAATAATCTCTGCTATTAATTATGAATGATAAAATTGCTATTAACCAAATAGTTACCAATTCGAATCTTACAGCAAGCACACACGCCATGCCACGGACGTAGAGTCGAAACGTCCTCATTTCCTTCATACCACTCTCATTTCCTTCGTATTCCATTTGTGAGAAAGTTCCAATAAAAAGTGGCTTTTTTACTGCGAACAGCTGCTTTGTATTTTCTGACTCCCCAAGAGGGTCTTTTTCCTCTTTACTACAATCTTCAACTTGTTCAAACATAAATTAAAAGTGATCTTCCCCACATTTCCTCTTAAACTGAGCAGCCACCACTTACTTCCATATTCTTCTTTACCTCAAGTGGGTCTTTGGCTTTTTTGCAGAGGTGAACATTATTGTAAAAAAAAATGTTTCGATTTTAAATAACCTTAGAAGGGTAGATAAGCCGTAAAAGTCAATTAATCCTCATTGATGCATTTCTAGAGTAAAATCATTTAAATTGAATTTCTATGGTAATGTTATTTCCAGCCCTTTTTGTTTCAAATACATTTACATTATACATTTAATAGACATCAGTCACGGCTGTCTTGATATAATTATATGTAATAATAAATAATAATAATAATTAATTTATAATAAATAATTTATATATAATAAAAAATATTAATAACTAGCAGCATGGCCTGGCATTGCCCGTGCGCGGTTCAAAGATTGTACGACACATACAGCAATCTCTATCACTTGACTTAAAATATTTTTGCCTTTCCTTGCCTTTAAAGAAGTGCCCTTTGCCGTGCTGATGTTGCTACATGCCTTAACTCTTGCCTATCTCACACTGAACTAAACAAAATGAACACAAAACGATCAGCTTTAAAAAAAGGACTCGTAAATGGAAAAACCGAATGAAAAAAGAATGTTAACAAATACTTTTTCACACCCAACCCAGTTCTGCGGAATCAGAATCAACGTTGAGTTTAAGCAAGCGAATGAGCCAATTGGAGTAAAGTGTCATGCAGATTTAAATTTTTCCCACTTATGACGAATGCAGCTATCGATTTTTTTTTGCATGCTAGCATGCTAGTTAATATTCGTGTCAGTCAGCTGTTGAAAATGACAATTACTCTATTCGTGGCAGCCAGCTATAGGCTCTCATTCTGGCCAGTAGAAAATGGCCGCAAGCTACATGAAAACTACCGTACAAGCATGAAAAAATTTATTATTTCCACTATCGATGGGAGTTGGGAAATGCAACGTAGGTCTTGGCCTTCCTGCTAACTTGGAGTATGTGCATGTAAATTTTGGTGCAAATCCGTCGAAAATTGAGGCCGTGCATTCGTTACACACACACATCCTGCCTTTTATAGATAGAGATAATAAATAATTTACATTATACATATAATAGACATCAGTTATTGTTGTCTTAATATAATTATATATAATAATAGAAAATAATAATAATAATAATAATAATAATAGTAATACTAATAATAATAATAAATAATTTATAATAATTTACATTATACAATTAATAGTTTTACTCTATCAGTCATGGTTGTCTTAATTCTTGACTACCGACCTTACTAATTCCCAATGCGCAATTAAAACTGCAAATTAAAATTTGTTAAAGTACTATTTCAGTAAATTAGTAAGGGCTTGTCGGTGGTTAAGAATTAAGATAACCATACATGATAGAAATACTAGAAAGAGCTATAACAGTTAGTTGACTCGAGAAATCTATTTTCCTGAATAATTGTTTTAAAAGAAAAATTATGCCAACCCAAAATAGAGATTCTGTGCTGAATATCCAGAATCGATTTTGTATCAGGTTGCACGGTATTAACACCAAGTGAATATAAAACTGGTAGCCAATGTCTTTAAATGAGATTCAAAAAATGGTACTCACAATTATAGCTCACACCTTACGAAGGGCTTTATTTATGTTTTAGTTTTTTGGGTTTTTTTTCTTTTTCACAAAAATACTCAGTAAAAAATAATATGACACCATTTCTGAGCTTAGGTCACTGGTTGGTACACAGAAGAAAATGTGTATACAACAGAAATCAAATTAAAGTACTATTTCAGTAAATTAGTAAGGGATTGTCGGTGGTCAAGAATTAAGATAACCATGCATGAGTGAGCAAGACTAATAAATCAAACTTTTCTCTGCGTCCCGGTTTATAGCGCTATAACAAAAAAAATTAATCGAAGAATAGGAAGCAAATTCAGGAGGCAGTGCCGATAAACACCTAGATCTTGCTTATTAACATTTTTAAATATGCGCAGGTGGTGCAACGGTTATTAGCGCAGAAAGTGAACTCGGTGAAACGAGTTCAAATTCCGGCACATTCTCATGCATACACTTTTGCATTAAATCTCTTGGGAAAGGCATGAACCTATCTCTTCTCCCTGCGCCCAAATAAGGGTTAAATAACAGTGTAGACTGGTCTCTCTAGCCTTGACTGACAACCCGTCAAAAAAACAACAGCCACAATGGACTGATTTCTCGTAATCGCCAGAGTGTCATGTGTCACTGTATATATAATCATTAAGGTGAATTATCTTAACTCCTGGAAAACACTTTCTAACCCTTACACTCCCACATTCCCACAGCCAATCAAATTCGACATCTCTATTTTGTCTTCGATCTGACTCCAATGTCAACCTCAGAAAGACTGAACCAAATACACCGCTACTAAAAAATAATAGTTGGAAACTATTATTTAACAAATATTATTTAAAAAACTACTTGCCTTAACAACGTTATCTTCCAGAAATACTCTGACCAACCGTTTGTTATTTTCCCAGACAGAATCCTTGTTATTACAAGCTAGAAGATATCTAGCTAAATAGACAGATATGAAGAAAGGGATAGATAGATAGATAGATAGATAGATAGATAGATAGATAGATAGATAGATAGATAATAAACAGACTGAGATAGATAGATAGATAGATAGATAGATAGATAGATAGATAGATAGATAGATATGAACTGTGCAAACAACAATGCATAGGGGCTGTCAGAAACTGTGTGAAAATGACAATTACTGTATAGCGCTGATACCTATGTCCACACTGATATATTTATAAACGCTAAACCTGCTATATTGGACACTTTTCTCTCTATATATAGCAAAGTTTAAAAGATAATATATATATGTGTGTTTGTGTGTGTCTTGTTATTAAAACATTTTTTTGACGCATTTCGTCCAATTTTCACTTTTTTAAAAACGAAAAAGTCGACATTGGAAGAAACGCATCCGCTAAAACTACAATTTTCTTATTGTATTTTTTCTTTTCATGATATTGTCTTTTCTCCAGTTTAATTAATCTTTTAATTTTTACATAGAATATATATATATATATATATATATATATATATATATATATATATATATATATATATATATATGGGTAGCAAAAAGTATTTAACACATTGGTTTTTTACATATCTCAAAAAATAGCACATCAATTTCAACAAAACTTATATGAAATATTCAAACGAACATTGTCGATCAAAACATAGAAGGAAAATTTAAAACCACTGTTTTGAGAAATATTTATTAACAATAAATAAAATAACCCATATGCAAAAGTATTTAACACCAATGCAAATATTATGCTAGAAGAGACGTGTCGTCATGATTCCTACCCATATTGATATGATGTGATATGTTGACCAATGACAGCACTGCACGACATTCAACTGTCTATTAGATAACAGCTCTGAGACACTGCAGCTATTCTGTTGCCACTACTGCAAGAAAATGGTGAAAACAAAAGAATTGTCGAACGACATACGCAAGAAGATCATAAAGAATCACAAAGATGGTAAGGGATATAGAAAAATCGCTTGGTGCTGTTGTTCAAAAATGGAAAAAATTCGATACTATTGAAAACATTCAACGGAGTGGTCGTCCCCGTATCTTAAATGAGACTAATGAGCGATACATTTTCTGTACTGTGAAGAAAAATCCATTTTCAACTCGTCGAGAAATTCAGAATGATTTGGAAAATGGCGGAATTGAAGTTAGTAAAGATACAATTAAAAGATCACTGAATCGTGCAGGTCTCACTTCAAGATCA